TTGTCCTCATTTACATTCTGATAAAATACAAATGTTGTTGACATAGAATTAAGTAAGAATAAGCAGCTTTCTAATTGTTATAATAAGGTTAAATTTGGATGAAATCCTGAGGAGTTATGAATTTTTGACTGGAACAATGAACATCGTCAAAAAAAAGAAACTTTCATCTGAGTAATCCAACCCCAAAAGATAATATTTTTGTTTGCTTTAAAAATCTGTAGTCAAAGGTTAAAGTTCCAGGATAAAGTATATTCCTTTTTCCATTCATTCATCATCCCGCCCACACCAAAAGAAAATCTTACAACTTTTGGTTTCACCACGGCTTTTTTTTACTTATTTTGTCTTTTCATGAAGTTTTTAAAATATTCGTAATAACCAGGTCAGATATCCGAGTATAATATAGGTCATGTTTAAATTTTTGCCGCTTCACCAGTGAAATTTGACGGATATCGTCGCTATGGAGACAAAGGATTCAATTCTATTAATTCTGACCACTTTTCCCTCGACAGATGTGGTTAGTTGGCCCAGTTTGGAGTCGTATTTGATGAAATTGACGGTTTTGTTCTCTGTCTTCATCACGAATTTCCCTCGGAAACTGTTCCATTGAGGTTTATTATTTATCTTTTCGCATAACTGAATTAATTGTTTAAAGACTGTGCAAAATTCAGTACAATTTAATTTTTGAGACTAAATTACTAATTGACTTCAACCGATTATATTTTGGCTGCAGGACTAGATTTTGCTTTGTGGCATTGTTTTGTTACGATTTGTCTTATTCACGTTCATTACATAAAAAAAATTTCAAATTTTTTTATATTATTTGACATTTCTCTACGTATGTCAAGATATTTTTTAAATATTCTGGTTAATGTTTAATTTTAGCCTTTCCTCCAAAGTTAATTTCACGCTTGACCGTGCAGGTTGGTAATGCGAGGTGTGAAGTCTAATTGAATTGCCGCACTTAACATGGCCTCTGCCCCGTGTGAAAAGTACGATATAACAAACTTCAAAAGAAATGTTACAAACGTCGTAATTTAAAACGTAATTTAAATTATTTGAAACCCTCCGAAGATGGCTAGAAAGCAAAACCCATCAGACGGAAACAAATTAAAAACCTATTGTACTTAAATCACACAGTTTTCATCATTTTTACAAAGTACTTTCTATACAAATTATTTATCTTATCAGTCATTGGTTGTACTTTACGTAATTGGGAGGTCATGTTGTAACTGTTTACAATGTAAGTTTTAGTCTGTATTAAATTAGTTTAGGGTAAAGTTAAGACAGCGTAAAACACCGTAAGTGTTATGTGAACTTGGGTAAATGACATACCCTCATCAGCGAAGTGGTTAAACAATGAAACAGATTTTCCAAAATAATAATAATAATAATAAAGTGGGATGTTTATGGGCCGACAAACAGCTGAGGTCATTGCCGGCCCTCTGCGTGTTTTCTTCGTATACCTCTTCTTTCGCGCGTATTTTGTTTAAAAATGCAGCCATTTAAGCATCTCGATCTGGTTACTGACTCTCTGATTTCAAATATGTACTACGTTGATGTGCAATGCTAGTCTCTCGTTTGTACCTCAAATTGTCAAATACAGAATAGAAATAAAACATACATAAGCAACCCCTTCCTTTCACGCTAAACATTACTTTTACTTTCCAGACGTCATTCATTCACCCCAGAGTACTCGATATTCCTCGGGGCGGGGTTATAAGCAACACCTTCCGTTCACGCCAATAAATTACTTTTACTCTCCAGACGTCATACACTCACCCCAGAGTACTCGATATTCCTTGGGGCGGGGTTATAAGCAACCCCTTCCATTCACGCTCATAAATTACTTTTACTCTCCAGACATCATACACTCACCCCAAGCATTCGTTATTCCTCGGAGGGGGGGGGGGTTATAAGCAACCCCTTCAATTCACGCTAATAAATTACATTCATTGGAATAAATTAACACAAACACAACACTCGATAGAAACATAGAAGTCTGATCACATTCACCCCCCAGAATACTCGATATTCCTCGGGGCGGGGTTATAAGCAACCCCTTCCTTTCACGCTAATAAATGACTTCTTTCTTAACCTGCCACAGATTTTCCAAAAATTTCAAATTTCTTGTATATACTTATCTTTGGGCTAGAAGCTCAATAACATATCAATTTTATTTTTTTTTTTTGCAAAAATTAAAATACAATGGGATCCTTTGCGAAGTTAGCGGAGGTAATCAGAACTAAATTACTTTATAAAAATGCCTATTAATTTAATAAATTTGGTCATTTTTGTAGTCAAACTAGCAGGTGTAAAATAAACATCAACACATTATATTTCATGGTCTGATTGACCAAATAACTTCTTTCAATTAATTAATCTTTTTGTGCAAGGTCTTGGTTGAAATGAATAAGTCGAAGGTCGTGGGTTCGAATCCCGCTAGTGACACTAATTTTTTCATTTCAACCAATACCTTACATAAAAATGTGTGGTGATTAGTGACCGTTAATCGATAATTATTCAGAAATCGTGAGATGCGGTCTGGCCACGAGTTCTGGATAATTATTTACATAAAAAGATTAATTAATTGAATAAACATCAACGTTGACAAATTTTGTATGATGACGTTCTTGTTGGAATAAGAAGGAGAAGATCGATGAAATACGACTGGAAACGAAGTCCTTCGATTTTTCCTTTTTACTTTCCTGAGTGGACACCGAAAAGTTCTTATCTGGGCAGGAAAATGCAATTGGAACCATTTTTAAACCACGAGTGAAGTTCTCTCAACAATTTTCATATGCAAAAATATAAACCAAATTTTAAGAAGCTTGGTCATCTGGTTGCCGTACAGATCCTTATATGTTACTTGTTAACTCAAGATGGCGAAATAAATATAAGTGGCCGAAACTTTTCAGAGAGGACAGGCGGACAAGAATGATCAGAGGCGATCGATAACTAACATCTGGCTCCTCTGATTTCTCAAATGTGATCTTTCAACCAATCACCTCTAAAACATCTCATAGTATTATCATGCTGATCAGGACATAATAAATTATTTAAATATGAATTGATGTCTATATGCATCTGTACTCTCTGGGTCGAAAAATAATTTTTTAACTAATAAAAAAACTAGCCAAATGACCAACTTCAGTAAACTATTTGGACATCGTTAGGTTTTAAAATTGCACAAATTACTAGATATGGCTTTGTTTATTAGCCAAAAGAGCTATGGGAATAATGACAAAATGCTGATGCAATGGTTTGTTTTATTTTAAAAAAATACATGATAAAAGTAATGCAACATATTTTATACTAGTATTATGTTTTAATGTGTGGTGATTAGTGGGCGTTAGTAGATGATTATTCAGAAATCGTGAGATGCGGTCTGGTGTGATGTAGGTTTCAGAAAAACATTTTCTTTACAGTGCCAACGTTTCGATCTTTATTGAGATCATCTTCAGGGCCAGGGCCAATAAACACTGTTTAAAATTAACAAAGAGATGTAGGATGTGGAAAAAAGTGAATTTATGCAATGCAAAAAAAATTTTTTACAATGTTTATTGTACCTGACCCTGAAGATGATCTCAATAAAGATCGAAACGTGCCACGATAAAGAAAATGTTTTTCTGAAAACTACATCACACCAGACAGCATTTCACGATTTCTGAATAATTACGTTTTAAGCACCTTAAGATAAAATTAGCTAAATCTAAAATAATGGTCTTTAAAAATGACGGGGAACGATAGCAAAAAAAAAAAAGAAAGATAGTATTTCCAGGACACTGAAATTGAAGTGGTAAAATACTATAAATACGTGGGTATAACATTGATGACTACATCCCTGACCACTCTTGCCTGATCATCCCTGAACTTGCCAAGGCGAAGGGAGGTATATTTATGATGTAGAGCAGAGAAAAAAATGCAAAAAATTTGACGTTGTGCATGGAGCGGTAATATGTTACGGTGCTCAAGCATGAAGATATAAGGTTTATGATGAAATCGACAAATTTTTTATAAAAAGACTTTTTAGATTGCCATGTTACATACAATCGACTTTTCTATTTCTCGAGATGAACCCTGAACCTCTGTATTTGTAGACCTTGAAATTGGACTATAACTACATACTGAAAAAGATGACCATTTTGGAGGAATGACACCTTGAAGTACTGGCTAAACAATAAATAAATGCTACTCACACTACGGACACTAACTTCCCATCTTAACCCCACCTTTTTGCCATTTTTCAGGCGGGTTGGCAACACTGACTTTTTTTTATCTNTTTGTCTCGCTACTAAAACGCTTATTTCACGAATCTTTACAAGTTTTGTATTAATCACATCTTATTGGAAATTTAACGAAGTTTTCAATGGTACCAACGGATTTATTCAAAACCTGTTAGTTTTGGAGTTATCATTGTTTATTTAGCAAGGTCGTGAAATCTTAAAAAATCAGAAAAAGTGAAATAACTCCGAAACTGTTGAGATTCGGACCATAGTTAATAAGGAGTTTTTGGTTCCATTTTGAACGTAGAATCTACAGGAAAAATTTGTTACACGAGTAGACAAACAGCCTTTATTTAATGATTAAAACAAAACAGAAGTACATTTTAATTAATTAGTAGACTACTCTTCACGGTTAAGATAACCAAAAGACCTCTCTTTAATTTTAAAAATATACAATTCCCTAATTTTCGTGGTCCACTTGACCAATTAATATCTTTCAATTAATTAAGGTTTTTAGTTGAGATAAAAAGTCAATGTCACGAGCGGGATTCGAACCCACAACCTTTGGCTAGAAACGCTGCTACTCTACCACCTCAGCTCACGAAGTCATAGTAGCTCAGGTGGTATAGTAGCGGCGTATCTAGCCGAAGGACGTGGGTTCGAATCCCGCTCGTGACATTAACTTTTTTATCTCAAATAAAAACCTTAATTAATTTAAAAATATATTTATTTATACTGTATATTATAAATTAAATAAAAACTTTTCTTTTTTTGTAGGTAAGAAGACTGTCAGAGCAAGGTGGCGAAGGTGGGAAAGGTCCTTCGCCTATGGAGGCTGCCTTCCTGGCCACACTATCCAGCGCACCTGCACCAACTCCCGGAGGAAGGAGGCACTCAGTGGTGACCATATCCAGGGCACCGCCGACGTCCGTTCTCTTCGGGAGGAACAGGAGAGAATCTATCGCTGCCTTTCCGACCCAAGGGCTTCCTCTGTCCCGGTTCCCTCGGCGCGATTCTTCCTCATCGATCGCCAGGTATTTTCCAAACGATATCTGTTTAATTTATTTGACTGTTTCGATTTTGTTGTCAAAATCAGGTCTCCGAGCGTGTCTGGAAGCAACTTCAATTTACAACTAGACATAATGGACGACATCGCGGACATCAAAGCCGCCCGGAAAGTCAGACTGAAGATGTGGCAGACGGACAGCCAGGAGAAAATATGCGAAGTGGAACCGCTGGATGGAGCAGGCTCTACAGCTCGCTACCATCAAAAAGAAAGTAGGAGGTAAAAATGTACCTGTTTAAAGTTAGTGTTGTCGGTCGAAATAAAATTGCCCACTTTTGCCTTTATTTGAAGGTTAAATATTTTTACACAGGTTCTAAAGAAAGTTAATATTTTGTAGAAGATTTTTTAATAAACGATTACAGACACGCTAACTTTTCAAACTTTTCAATTTCAAAACGTATGTATTGGGCTGGTACAAAAATAATGCAGGTTTTGAAAAGGCAGATAAAACTATTTATAATTCACTAATTTTCGTGGTCCGCTTGACCAAATAATATCTTTCAATTAATTAAGGTTTTTAGTTGAGATAAAAAAGTCAGTGTCACGAGCGGGATTCGAACCCACAATCTTGGGCTAGATACGCCGCTGCTCTACCACTTGAGCTATCGTAACCTCGATCCACTCTGACACTAACTTCCCATCTCAACCCCACTTTTGAATGGAGTGGAGCCCGAGTGGATTGAAGTCACGATAGCTCAAGTGGTAGAGCAGCGGCGTATATAGCCGAAGATCGTGGGTTCGAATCCCGCTCGTGACACTGACTTTTTTATCTCAACTAAAAACCTTAATTTACTATTTTTAATCCATGAAAAGCTTTTCCTAAAAAGGTATAGCTGAAACTGCTAACAGCCTCTCCTCCAGTTATCAGTCTTCTCTTGAGCAGAAACAGTATTGCTAGGGTGACTTTCGCGATGTGCCTCAAGCGTTTAATCAGATTTGTTCTTTAAGTTTAAAAACTTTCTTTCAAGTACCTTTTAACATTAAAATCCTATCTGACAAACCGCATCGGTCAGTGAACACCTCTTCCTCGTATTAAATCGGGTGTTCCCCAGGGCAGCATCCCAGAGCCCTCCCTCTTCACAGTATACACAGTCAACATTTCTATTCTTCTTAACAATATATGCCGTGTGTTTCATTTTTCGTCGCAACAGGAAAAAAAATCAGTTGCGCTGATTAAATACGGCCGTGCAATGTATGTACAGGTTTCATTTTTCAGCGCAACGTAAAAAAAAAAGAGACCTGTTATATTATTTTGCCATCTAATACTCATCTTCCCCTTGCTAGTCATGACGCCCAACAACATACAACCCTTTTTCCGTCCTACTCTCGCAAATAAATCCACCCACATCATCTTTTTTCACTCGAAAAATCCACTTGTACTACCGTCTATTTCAATGGGAAACCCATCCAAACTTCAGATATTGTGCATTACCTGGGACTATTCATTACCTTACTAGCAAATTCACCATTTACGAAACCCCCCTGAGACCGATCAGGACGTACGGAATTGAATTTTAGGGATAAACCAAAAAATCCAATCCATCCATCAAATATACTAAGATTTCTTTGCAGCCTTGAAAAATAATCATTCAATTTTAATGATTTATCTTGTAAATCGTAACATTTAAAGTAATAACTATCAATTATAACTACAATTAATTAAGGTTTTTAGTTGAGATGAAAACTAATTGTAATGATTTAATTGGTCAAGCGGACCACAAAATTAGTGAATTTAAAGAAATGAATTATAACCTTGACTTTTTAGTATTAAACATAGTCTGTTTCCGTAATCTAGCTACAGTCGACTACAGTTAAGCTTAATCCTCTCTGACAGCGGTGTGTATTTGGGGATTAGAGAAGATCAATTTTGTTCGTCCCCTGTCAACACAGATGTCCGTTCAGTAATTCGTATTTGCTTTCCACGACAAATCAAATTGGTTGAAATAAAGCGAAAATTTTAAATAATAAATTCACTAGTTTTCGTGGTCCGCTTGACCAATTAATATCTTTCAATTAATTAAGGTTTTTAGTTGAGATAAAAAAGTCAGTGTCACGAGCGGGATTCGAACCCACCATCTTCGGCTAGATTCACCGCTGCTCTACCACTTGAGCTATCGTGACCTCGATCCAATCGGACACTAACTTCCCATCTCAAACCACACCCTTTGAAAAATTGCAAAAAGGAGGGAAAATTCAAAAAGGTGGGGTTGAGATGGGAAATTAGTGTCCGAGTGGATCGAGATCACGATAGCTCAAGTGGTACAGTATCGGCGTAACTAGCCGAAGATCGTGTGTTCGAATCCCGCTCGTGACACTTACTTTCTCAACTAAAAACCTTAATTAATCTAAATAATAAACTGTTAAACAGTAAATAATAAATTTCATTAAAATATTTTTTAATTTCTTCAATCATTTTTTAACAATGTGATATGAAAAATCACAAATGTGTTAATTCAAAGCTACGATTTGTTAATTACATTAGAGCTACCTGTACAATTATTTCTTTTTTTATTGAAAGAACAAAAGCACGTTTAATTTTGTGCCGAACAAGTTTTTGTATTTTGATGTAGGTTAGGGTGAATTCCTTGTAGTACGAGTTGAGTCGGAATATTCTGTTTGAAATAACCCAGAGTTATTTCATTTGTGAAATTTAATTAGAAAAACATCCAGCTTTTTTCTAAATAAAAAAATAACCTTTGATGGCCGCAACTGTGCGCATTTGTATTTCATAAATACGGGCATGAGATAGAGAGATAAAAGAGACTAATAAAATAGTCCTGGTTTATAAGGTCCCTGCGTCACAAGCTAGAAACAAAATCATAAATTAATTATTCGTCGTTAATGTCAAACTGTTTTTTTTTTAATCCATTGGACCGCAGGTCTACCTTTGCTTTTAATAGCAAGTTCTTGTTGGCTGGAGATCTTTACAGTTGCTTTGGGCTTCTTGCACTGAATCTTTGTTTATTAAAGCTACAAAGTTACCATTATTTAACGGGAAGAGTCTAGGTTTACGTTCCCACTGGGGTCGCAATGTGATGTAACATTGAGGTTCTTTAACGTGCGCACCTGGCCGATTAGGCCTTATTGCACGTTTTAGAGTCTCAAGTAAGGAGCGACTCACCTCAGCGAATGGAAAATCTGCTGATTCCATGAGGTTCGGTGTAGAAGCCCACATCATCCTGCACTTAACCAGTGCTGCGCGTATAGGGATAGCCAAAAAGAGGTCGAAATGCATCAGCCATGTCTCGCACGCACTCCCTGGATAGAGACGACAACTCTATCTCCCTGGGTGTAGGGGCTAGCGACAAAACCTCTGGATACGCTCCGGCCGCGGTTTCGATTTTAGTAGAATCTCTAACCACCCACTAGATGCCTACGGTAAAGGCAGCTCTGATGGCACCGACAAGCACCGCCCCCGTCCACCATTCCTCAAGCATTCGGGGACGCCGGCAGCGTAGTAAAAAGCTCCTCGCTGGCTATACGCTCTCGGCAATCCGATCCATCCAATTCCCACGAGGTCGAGAGGTAATTCGGAGGTCTTGCGCAAGTACTACGGTCCGCGGCCACGAATGAAACACAGCCTCTTCTCTAGGTACCCGCCAGGTGTCTCACCACTCAGCGAGTCCTTACCCATGCACTGCCCCGTAGTACAGATGATTATGCACCACAAAATATATATTTAGACAGGATCTGGTACACTAACCCGCGTGTGTCTCTGCTACAGCACCTGCCATCGCGGCCAGCTCTCAAGCCAGCAACTCCCTTAACGCATCACGAGGGATTAGATAGGCGTAGGCTCAGCGTCCTCGCACGCTGTAAGCTTCCTTGGTATTGTCTTCCAAATACACGCAGAAGATGCTTAAAGCGACCATGTGTGCCAGGAAACACGAGCCAGCTTGTGTTTTAGAGCTTGTGCTTCTCAAGGCTGCACTGGAAACCCTCTTGCAACCAAGGGTTGGGAAGGGTCTGCTAGAGTCTCCTAGGAGAACCCGCTGCACAGTCCCAGGTTTTGGATTGAGAGGATTGGTTTAGGTTTAGGTAGATAGTCGGTTAATTTACCTTGCAAACTATGCCTTGGTAGTACAGGGTAAGTCCATGGTTTTATCCGCCCAACCGCCGGGCTTCATGGGGTTTCAACAGTTAGGACATTTCAGGTTCAGGGCAAGGGTTCAGAGCCAAGATGTGTCCTGATTGAACTTTCCTTGGTCAATTGATTGCCTTCCTTGTTTCCCTGGTACCCAAAGTTGATTTTGTTGTTTCCCTAATGCCATCTCAAACGCTTTGGATTATAGTACCAATGAGGCAGTTACTTTTAGTAGCTGGTATAGATGGCTATTTTTTTATTGGCAATACCCATCCTTCTGCCCTTGTTGTCCACTAGCCTTTTCCGCCTAAAATATATTAGCATATTGCCCAAGGCTACTGTGAATTCTAGTCCTTGGTTCCATAGATACTAGCCCCATTAACTGGGATTTCTTCTGTGAAATATCAGCTCAGAATTTCGGCATCTCCAGAAACTTATCAGCCTGAAGTTCATCCCAATGCTTTGATCCTTTTTAAGCGAGTGTATTTGAACTTGTCCTTCCATAAGCCTGTAAATTGTGGTGAACTTCCTCCCTGTCGTGATGGTAGATTCAGGAGGACTTCGTGGGCAGCAATGGGAGTCGTTGTCATTACTCCAGTACTACTGTAGCCTCTGGGCAATATTGAGGATGACGCAATGTAATGTCTTCTTCCCCAAGCCATATCTTGGACCAGATGCTTAAGAACTATATTTTCTAACAGCCGAAAAAACCACATATCATTTATTGGTTTTATATGATTCGCATGTGTAATTTATTTATTTTCTTAACTACATTATCTATCAATTATGTAATATTATGTTAATTCAGAAAGTTTATTCTCATGTGATCGATTTAGATCGGTTAGTCTAAGTTGGCCTAGCTTAATAATGATAGCTTTAAGTTACATTTGTGCAAAATGGTTTTAGTTATGTAACCATGATGTACTTTGTTTTTTCAGATTCTCCGACGTAACTGGTATTCCTCCATTGCAAGTACAGTCTAAACGTAGAGCGTCAGAGCTTCCTAAGTTTCAAAGTTCCGGTTCAGCCACACCCCCTACAGACAGGCCTAGCGGCATTGTCTGTTCTAATTCCGATCTAATGTGCATCATGTCATCACTAACGTCCTCAGCTCAAGAGATCAATTCTTCCCAAACGACAACCACCACGACCCCGACGACATTACCAGAACGTCCTGCACCTCCCAAACCCTCGGCGATCGAAGACAAACGCAACCTTTTGAAAAACAGCCGGTCCAACAGTTTCGACGTTTCACTCCTGCCGGAAGGGAAAAGCGGAGAGGTAAAAGACAAAGGGGGCGCTCCGGGAAACTGGTTCCTAAGACGGCACCTTCCAATGGCCAATAAAAAATACCTAGGAAAGACTGAAGACGAAGCGGCCTCTCCTGGAAAGAAAAAAAAGGAAAAAGTCGTCTGGGACAAGCCTTCGGGCTCGATAGTAGATGCCAAAGTAATCGGTAGTGCCATCGAAGTCTTTCTCAACCAAAGATCCGGTGAAACGACGCCTCAAGAAGCCCCTAAAAAGACCCAGAAGACTTCCTGGTTTGGAGCGGAACCAAAAGAAACTGATGAAGAAGTGACATGTGACAACTCCATCTGCTCCACCCTCAAAGACCTCTTCGTCAAATAGCTATAAATGATACCCCTGGTAATATTCGGGGGTATTGTTTTAGATGTTGTCGTTACGATGATTTACTTCCAAAATTAAACATATTTGATAAAACAATTCTAATCAAAATGCGGAAATTAAATTTTAAAACAACTTAACTCTTTTGTCGTTTTTTGCATATTTAAAACTCATAAATGTCTGTTAAATCCGAGTGACTCTCATTCCCTTTGTTACAAATTTCCATATATTACCAATACCTCTCACCAGAAATCATAAATAAAAAAATTATTACATACCGCATACAATAATGTATATAAATTAGCCATATAGTTATATTGTGTTACGTATAAAAAAAAAAATCCTTCTAATGAAAGTAGTAAGAAGAATTTACGCAGGTTGTTCAATGTGTAGATTGTGATCCTACCAGTAATATTTTATTATTTATACAAATTAAAATATATTTACTCTTGCAAATGGGTAAAGTGTATGTGATATTTGTGATAGCCATCATTCTTATTCCATTGTTGTTGACTAAAGGAATAAAATATGTCTACGACAGTTTAAGATCCAGTGTTTTGCGAAGACAATGGCCCTTCTTTGTACTTTCCATTTCATTTCTAAACATTGGGTTTTTATATTATAATACATTGTTCCATATTAAATAATAATCTTCTACATTTTTAATGTTGTAATATAGGATAATCGTATCGTATCAATTATTTTTTTAACCATAAAATGTTGTTTTTAACCCTGAAAGTTCATAATTTGTATATATTAATAGATTGTTGTTGTAATAATAGTTCAAAATATACTGAATGTTACGTTTATTGATAGTTATTCATTATTCACAAGTTTTCTTTACAACAAAATGATGTCAAAATTGGGGAACTGAGTACCAACCAAAAGTACATCTAAATGGGCTTTTTAAGAGGAAATACACCATAACCTATGACTCGGGATGTTGCAAACCCATATACAAAAATAAATAAATTCCTGATATAAATATTTATTGTTGTTATCAAATGAAATTTGTTTCCTATTGAAATTTTTTTTCCATTGTTATATTACAAGACATCTCAAAAATTAGGTTAACATTGCAAAAATAACAGTTTCAATATTTTGAAAAGTATTATTTAAAAGTATGCATAGATGCAAAAATGACAGGCATACAGTTGATATTATTTATGTTTAGTTAGTCTTTAATTAAAGTTTTGGTTGAAATAAAAAAGTCAGTGTCACAAGCGGGATTTGAACCCACGACCTTCAGTCGGACCAACACAAGCGGACCACGAAACCTAATAAATTTATGGTTAGGTTGAAAATGAGACCACTTTAGGTCATCTCCAGTACACTTGAGGTGACTGTAATATATTTTCATTAGTATTTTTTATTGGAATTTTTTAAAATCTCTTTTATGAAGGTTTGCAACAGCAGAGGTCGCATCAACCCTCTGGATGCTGGTGTGGTGAATGCAGAGCCGCTGGATTCGAACCTGGGACCTTTACCTTACAGTAATGAGCACCATGTACATATAAACCATTGCGGCCATCAACACCTCTCCCATAGTAGTTATTTATAGCATTCATATTAATTTTATAACAGCAATCAAGAGGCTCAGCAGACAAAGCTGTAGACTTTAAATAGCTTAAAATAATAAAAATAAAAAATAAATAAAACAAGAAGTTAAAATACTGATAGAAGACAGTCAACAGCTATCTTGCAAATGCAACACCTAATAAAACATTCGCTCTGGAAAGCTACTAAAATAAATTTAAAAACCTGTTACCAAAATATCACTGATATATAAATATAATGGCGAATGGGCAAGGGTTATCCATGACAAACCTTGTGTTTTTAACATTAACTAGAACAAATATTTAACCAGATGCCATATGTAATGAAACCTCTAGAAAAAGAAGTAATTACATTTTTGCCTCCAAATTATGTGGCTCATGAGACAAAATCAAACATAAACTTTAAAAAACAAGTCCCCGAGGATTTTTATAACAGGCGAACTCTTGAAAAAAATACCGACAAAAAAAGATGTATAATATGGTGAAAAACATTTTCCTTGAATCTGAAAGTTAGTCTAAATCAATAAACGCCTGGTAAACTGCACTTTCATCCTAACCTACAAAATTAAAGCCTTTCATAGAAAAAGTCTGCCTCATATCAAACCATCAATTTGGCTTTAGAACAAAACATTCGATGATAGATCATCCACAAAATTTTAGTATAATAAAGCTTTAGAAGCTCTATGTACCACCACAAAGGATGTGACATTGTGTTGCAGGTTTCTGCTTAAAATGACAGGATCGTTATGAGAGCAAGTATGGCAGTATCATGCTAAGGTTAGTTTCACAAAAGGTAGGAATGTCTTGCTGTATATGTATAAGAAGAATCCTAATTTATTTCTTTGTACCCCTGTATTTGTACAGAAGAATGACAGCGGTGGTAGACATACCACTACATCACAGCAGGAAGTTCAACAGAAACTGCTCTGTACCAGTTAATTAATGACCTAAGGGAAACACTAGAAACAAGGGAAACAGCAATCTGCACGTTTCTTAACATTGAAGGTGCCTTTGATGCATCCATGAAGGTCTCCCTAGAGAAAAAGCCAGGAGAAAAGCTAAGAACTAGAACAGCTGAAACAAATATAGGATCAGACACTATACAAGTCACCACAACCAAAGGATGTCCTGAAGGAACTACTCATGGTAGTAATGTCACCTCTTCTATGGTGCCTAACAGTTGATGAACTGCTCAAAACTCTGGACCGTGACATTTAAGAAACACATCGGCTCTACCATTACAAAGGTGATGCTATGCAGAAGATTAGCAGAGAACAACTGGGGATCTAGAATGGCAACTCTGCTTTGGATGTACACCATGATGGTAAGACCCATATGGAGCCGTGGCCTGGGCCAATAAAGCAAAACAAGTAACTAAAACGGGATGGATGGAAACTGCATAACGGGAGTAATGAGAACATGTCCCACTGTTAGTATAAAAAAAATACTGGGATTAATCACATGGAAATGAGGACAGCACAGAAAACTATTAGTATTATCAAAGAGAAATTTTCAACAGGAATAAAACTAAAATGGAGAGACAGCAAGAAAATAATGAAAGACCATCCTATGCTCATGGCTCCAAGGGGTGACTACCTGAAAGTGCTTTTTCCCCGAAGGGGTTTTAATCTTTTATCACTAACGCTTAATAATTGACCTTAACCTTACTCAATAGTTGTGAGATTTTCAAGTAACCTATGTTGTTGCACTTATGATTCCAGCTGCCCTCGCTAATTAATCTGTAGCAGCTGATTAGTGCTCTGACCTTAACCTCAATGTGAAGGGGTGTGGTATTGGTTATGATTTCAAGAGCTAGGGTGGGTGTAGTTGAAAATGCTCGTCATCATCAAACAGCCTAGTCTTTGAAATGACCTTAATTTATTACAATTCCTTTTATTTTCTAGACCTTTCCACTACACTAAAGCTGCGAAAAAGAATCTAGGTAGAATAATTGCAGTATATAGCCATGGTTTGATGCCCCATGTTTTACCGACAATTCTCCTACATTGTACCATTGATATAGTGCCTTTCCTGTATATGTTAATAATATGACCTTTTCAATCAAGTTTCCTGTCAAGTGTCACACCAAGGAATTTGATGGAATCCACTAACTTTAATTCTATGCCCTGAAATTTAGGGTTATTAAAATTACGTAAAGTTCTTCTCCTGCTAAACATTATCAATTCTAGTTTAGCCGGATTAATTGATAAACCTTTGTCACAACACCAATCGGATAGCAACCCCATCACCTCCTTCATCAGCAGTGATAGAGTCAGAGGATCCTTACCCATGATCATTATGGTACCATCATCTGAAAATAATTGGCTATAAAAGCCTAAGTTATTCAGAAGCTCTAATAATCTATTTACTGTGATTAACCACAGAAGAGGGGATAAGCAGCCTCCCTGTGGACAGCCTCCTGTGACCTTGATTCTCAGAGTACTACTACCTAAGCACATATTTACCATCCGACCCTCTAGGTAGGTTTTCACCCATCCTATGAGGTGTTGGTCTACATTATATTTATTTAGTGGATAAATCATCTGATCACTGGCAGAAGTATACTATTTTTTGTAAAGCCAAGTTCAGATTGTTTGCTACAGCATTCTGTCTCCAGGAGGAGCAATGTATTACGATGCTATCCGCATAAAGGGCCAACTTGCACTTTAAGTGAAGTGAGGGCATTTAAGAACATAGAAAAAAGTGTTGGCTCTAGGATAGACCCTTGATGGACCCCAGCAACAACTTTGAAAGAAGACGTAGCATTGTTAAGAACAACGCGAAAACATCTACCACTTAAATAGGATTATGATCTTAACAACATATGTTGGGGACTTATATTCTAACAGCCTGTAGACTATTCCGTTATGCCAGACAATGTCAAACACCTTTAGGTCTAGTAATACCATACCTGTGGTCTATACTTGCCTGCAGGAGGAAGTGCTTTGGGATGTACAATGTGACCATAGAAAAGCTTCAACCGTTGAAACCGGGCCTACTAATCAAGTTCCCTGATGAACTACGACTCACTGGTGAGTTTTAAGCAGACTATGGGGGATACAATAGCTCTTAAAGGGTGCAGTATATTACATTCCGACTATTACAGGATACGATAGGAAACTGTTAGAAAAACCTAGTTAGATGTTTCAAAATTCTAAAATTCATTTTAGTTCGACATTCTTTCTATGTAGAAACTAACTGTGATACGGACCTTTTACTGGACATTTATCTGGCTTTAAAGAAGATTGTATGTTCAAAGTTTAGTAATTTAATTTTAATTGACAAAAATGAGTGTTTTTGTTTTTTTAGTTCATTTTAATTTATCCAAACGTCACAGATTATTGCTTCGTGGTACCATTAGAGAGCATGGCATTGTTGGTATCTCCAAAGTAGAATGCCATGCTTCCCAAGTACCTTCTCTCGTGATAAACCGTAAAAATAATGGGTATCTAGAAGTACTTAAAATAATAATAATTTTAAAAATGATTTTCAGCAATTTAAAGTGTGCTTTGTTGATCCGTCAGTGCGGTATGGTTTTACTAGGCAAACATTTGACATACAATCAGCTTAGAACGTTTAGAAACTGTGTGTTAATAAATTCAAAACAATCAGTCACTTTATCAAAAAACAGACCTAGGAAGTTATCAGGATTCGTTTTGGATAAATATTCGTCGAAGAAATTATGCGGTTTAAATATATGCAGGAGTCAGATGAGAGGATACTGCACGGATGATCAACCGAAGCATGTCAATGTCGGTACCATTGGCCATGTCGATCATGGCAAGACGACTTTGACAGCAGCGCTTACCAAAATAACATCAGAGGAAGGTCTGTCGAAGTATGTTTCTTATGAAAAAATCGACCGGGCCCCTGAGGAGAAAGCCCGGGGGATTACGATCAACGCGTCTCACATCGAGTATTCGTCCAGGAAAAGGCATTACGCGCATACAGACTGTCCAGGACATGCCGATTACATTAAAAACATGATATCTGGTACTTCGCAGATGGACGGTGCTATACTCGTAGTGGCTGCAGAAGAAGGCCCTATGCCTCAGACCCGAGAACATTTATTATTAGCAAAACAGATAGGAGTCAAGAATATTGTAGTATTTATAAATAAATGTGATGAAGTTGATCAAGAAGTAATGGAACTAGTTGAACTAGAAATCACCGAACTTTTAACAGATTTTGGTTTTAGTAATCAATGCCCTGTGATTTTTGGCTCTGCGTTATTAGCGTTAAAAGGCGACAACTCGGAGCTTGGTAAAAAATCAATATGGAAACTGCTAGATGCATTGGATTCTTATATTCCTATGCCTACGAGAGATTTCACTTCGCCTTTTTTATTACCGATAGACAGCACGTTCAACTTACCCGGACGAGGCACAGTGGTAGTCGGAACGTTAAAACGAGGAGTGATCAATAAAGGCGACCCTGCTGATCTTCTAGGTTTCGACATAAATGCCAATACAAACGTTAAAGATATACATGTTTTCCAAAAATCAGTCGCATCGGCCAAAGCCGGTGAGAATATTGGAGTTTTGTTAAAAGGCATAAAGGGAAATGATATCGAACGAGGTATGCAGCTTGTATACGCTGGTAGTCAGGTGTTGACGAACAGCTACGAAGCGAGTGTTTATTTCCTGACGAAGGCTGAAGGCGGCCGGAGCAAGCCGATAACGTCAAAATATATACAAATGCTCTTTTCAAACACATGGAGTCTTACATGCCGGATCGATATGATCGACGGCGAAATGGCCATGCCGGGCGATCATGCCAAAGTGAGGTTGACCCTGCTCAAAAGAATGTCGATGAACGAAGGCCAGCCTTTTACAATCAGGGAAAATCAGTTTACTGTCGGGACTGGAATAATAACAAAAATTTTAGGAAGTGCAACTTTCACACATTTAAATAAATACAAAATAAATATTTAAATAAAATTACAAATATATTTTTTAGCTTTATTTATTCTTTTTTCTTTCTTTCATTCCTCTTCATCTTTATCAAAAATTTAGGTCATATCAAGCAATTTTTTTTAATGAACTATTACGCCAACAGTGGGACAGCACCACTCCAAAGGGACCACACAAACACAAGCTTTTGTTTTGCTAATAAAATTGCTAAAAAAAATTACTAATTATTTTTTGATTCTCCATGAGTCTAGGGTCGGTTTAGCACAGAGAACTTTCACCAGACCCACTGGGGCAGGATCCAACCTCACAAAACCACCAAATTTTTCAGTCAAATTGGAAACTTCGTTTTTTATGTAATAAGTTTTCTGTTTGTAAAAAGTTAGTTTTTGCACATTATCCGCATCATCTCCCAATATATCAGGAAGATTATTCGACGAACGGTGTCCTCATTGATTTATACTGATCACAAACAGTTTAAATAGGTTTCACCGATGACTACATAACTAGGCAGTTTCTCCGTTAACAGTCAGTCTGTAATGCCCTATTCACAACCTGGTAAGCATTGTGTCCTCTTAGGACAAGAAGAAAACCATGATTTGGGAATGCCTTCAATTTCTCTCGATTAAATAGATAAAAAGCTTTATTTATAAATAAACACTTTTTTTTTCGAGATACAAATATAAAATTTAAAAACTTGAAGCTTTTACGATAAAGGTTTATTCAATTTCTCTTCTGGGTGTGGTATTTACAGACCTTACTGTACTGCACCCTCCTATTTTATTAATTAAAAGGTTTTCATTCTCTCAAAATAATTGTACTACATCATCTGACTGTACATGAAAAAATACGTAAAACTGAAAGTTTTTATAAACTATTCTTTTTATGTAAGGTCTTGGTTGAGATGAAAAAGTTAGTTTCACAAGCGGGATTCAAACCCACGACCTTCAGCTCAATTCGCCACTGCTCTAACCACTTGAGCTACCATGATCCCTTCAGACACCAACTCCCACTCAATCCACCACTTTTGTATTTTTCTTCTTTTTGCCATTTTTCAAATGTGTAATCAGGATTCAATTCTCAGCGATATAAATTGCCAAAGCAAGCTGTAAGTGAAGTAATTATTTCTTTACTTATTATATTAATGAATTCATGTTTAGCAGTTATAATTGACCATATTAATTATTTCAATTAATTATTCTTTTTATGAACGTCTTGGTTGAGAGGAAAAAATTAGTGTCACAAATGGGATTCAAACCCACGACCTTCAGCTCTAACCACTTGAACTATGGTGACTTTGATCCTCAAGGACACCAACTCAATCTATTACCTTTCGCATTTTCCATTTTTTTTTTTTTTTAATATATATATAACTTTATTTAAACTTTTGTACATAGTACCTTATAGTTGTGGCATAATGTTTAACGGCAACAAACAGTTCTTGGATCTTTAAGCTCAGCAGCTCCCCCCCATTAATTATTTATACATGATTTAATCTAATTTAATCACAGTTAATTATAGTTAGTTAACATATTGGTGTGTAGCGTGCACTTGATGAGTCTGTGGTGTGGACATGCAGGAGGTAGGTGGTCCGGTTTTCCTTGTATTTCTGTGTTTGGGTGGGACTGGAACTTGCTAAACATCTTCCGGTAGTTATCTCTCAGTGCATGGTCCACTAGAGGAATGTCCAGGTCTCGGTGCAGTGTGGTATTTCACACATACAAGGGGGCCCCAGTTAAAATCCGTAAGGCCCTGTTTTGAAATGTCTGGATTCTTTTAATTTGGCTGTTCGACGCTGAGGCCCAAACACCAGGGCCATATGGGTTGAATGAGGGACATATATATTAGTCTTTTGTTAGTCAGACTGATAGTTGGGCTCTTAATTAGTGGTTTGAGGTCAATTAGTCTGCATCGTGATCTCTTTAGCACACCGCTTATGTGCTGATGCCAAGTCAGCCTCCGGTCAAGAGTAACACCATAATCCATTTTCCACTTTTTGCCATTTTTCAAATGTCGTGTAATCATGATTCATTTCTCAGCGATTTATGAAAATGGCCACAGTGAGCTTTTAGTGAACTGATTACTTCTTTACTTATTATATTAATCCATTAATGTTTAGCGGTCATAATTGACCATATTAATTATTTCAATTAATTATTCTTGTTATATAAGGTTTTGGTTGAGATAAAAAAGTTAATGTCACAGAGGAGATTCGAACCCACGACCTTCAGCTCAATACACCACTCCTCTAACCACTTGAGGTATCACAATTTTGATCCCTTTGAACACCAACTCCCAATCTCAATCTACCACCGTTCACATTTTTCCTTTTTGCCATTTTTTAAATGTTGTGAAATGTCATGTAATCAGGATATAATTCTCAGCGACTTATGAAAATGGCCATGGCGACCTAAAAGTGAAGTGATTACTTCTTTAATTATAATATTAATCAATTTATGTTTAGCAGTCATAATTGAGGATATTAATTATTCTTTTTATGTAAGGTCTTGGTTGATATGAAAAAGTTCGTATCACGAGCGGAATTCGAACCCACGACCTTCGGCTCAATTCGCCACTGCTCTAACCACTTGAGCTATCATGATCCCTTCACACACCAACTCCCAATCTCAATCTATCACCTTTTACATTTTCCCTCGTTTTTGTCATTTTTCAAATGTCGTGTAATCAGGATTCATTTCACAGTGACTTATGAATATGGCCACACGGGCTGTAAGTAAAGTGATTACTTCTTTACTTATTATATTAATCCATTATGTATAGTGGTTATAATTGACATATTAATTATTTTTTTTATGTAAGGTCTTAGTTGATATGAAAAAAAATTAGTATCACGATCGGGATTCGAAACCACAAACTTCAGCTCAATTCGCCACGCTCTAACCACTTGAGCTATCATGATTTTGATCCCTTTGAAAACCAACTCCCAATCTCAATCTACCACCGTTCACATTTTTCCATTGTCATGAAATGTCATGTAATCAGGATACAATTCTAAGCGACTTATGAAAATGGTCATGGCGACCGAAAAGTGAAGTGATTACTTCTTTAATTATTCTATTAATCCATTATGTTTAGTGGTCATAATTGACCTTATCAATTATTCTTTTTATGGAAGGTTTTGGTTGAGATGAAAAAGTTAATGTCATGAAGGGGATTCGAACCCACGACCTTCAGGTCAATATACCGCTGCTCTAACCACTTGAGCTATCGTGACTTTGACCCCTTCGGACACCAACTCCCCACCTCAACCTACCACCTTTCACATTTTCCACTTTTTGCCGTTTTTCAAGAGTCGTGTAATCAGGATACAATTCTCAGCGACTTATGAAAATGGCCATGGCGACCTAAAAGAGAAGTGTTTACTTCTTTAATTATTATATTAATCTATTTACGTTTAGTGGTCATAATTGACCATAGTAATTATTCTTTTTATGTAAGGTCTTGGTTGATATGAAAAAGTTTGTATCACGAGCGGAATTCGAACCCACGGCCTTCGGCTCAATTCGCCACTGCTCTAACCACTTGAGCTATAAGTGCGTCCCTTATCATGGCCTGTCGGACGCATCATTGAGCAGTACCCGGGTAAAGATGGGGTGGTACGAGTTGTGCGCATAAAAACGCCCTCAGGAGAATATACGCGTCTGATTACACATCTATCTCCTCTGCTCCCTGAATCTTTCCAATCCTGTTCTTCTACTCTGCAACGTCTCTTTTTTTTAGTGAAATTTCTATTGAAATTTGGTGGGCGGTATGTTTACACCGGAGAGAATTTTATTCATTTTTTTAAAATTTTGTTTATTTGTTCAAATCCCTTCAGACACCAACTCCCAATCTCAATCTATCACCTTTTGCATTTTCCCTCGTTTTTGCCATTTTTCAGATGTCGTGTAATTAGGATTCATTTCACAGTAACTTATGGATATGGCCACACGGGCTGTAAGTAAAGTGATTACTTCTTTACTTATTATATTAATCCATTAAGTTTAGTGGTCAAAATTGACCATATTAATTATTTCAATTAATCATTCTTTTTATGGACGGTTTTGGTTGAGATGAAAAAGTTAATGTCATGAAGGGGATTCCAACCCACGACCTTCACCTCAATACACCATTCCTCTAACCACTTGAGCTATCATGATTTTGATCCCTTTGAAAACCAACTCCCAATCTCAATCTACCACCTTTCACATTTTCCACTTTTTGCCATTTTTCAAAAGTCGTGTAATCAGGATACAATTCTCAGCGACTTATGAAAATGGCCATGGCGACCTAAAAGAGAAGTGATTACTTCTTTAATTATTATATTAATCCATTATATTTAGTGGTCATAATTGACCATATTAATTATTCTTTTCATGGAAGGTTTTGGTTGAGATGAAAAAGTTAATGTCACGAAGGGGATTCAAACCCACGACCTTCAGCTCAATACGCCACTCCTCTAACCACTTGAGCTATCATGATTTTGAACCCTTTGAAAACCAACTCCCAATCTCAATCTACCACCATTCACATTTTTCCATTTTTCAAATGTCATGTAATCAGTATACAATTCTCAGCGACATGAAAATGGCCATGGCGAGCTAAAAGTGAACTTTTTACTTCTTTACTTATTATATTAATCCATTTGTGTTTAGTCGCCATAATTGACCATATTCATTATTCAGTTTATGTAACGTCTTGGTTGATATGAAAAAAATTAGTATCACGATCGGGATTCGAACCCACGAACTTCAGCTCAATTCGCCCCGCTCTAACCACTTGAGCAAGCATGATTTTGATCCCTTTGGACACCAACTCCCAATCGTCATATCTTGAGCTGAAAATGTTTTATCTAGAATGTATAACATTGCAGTTTTAGCCTTTCAAATAATACCCATTTGTTTAGTGTAAAAGAAAGTTTATTAAGAAAAACTACTACAGAATTGATTTAAAAATATCATTCATACAACACTAGGCGTTGGCCCATTTACCCAATCGCAAATTTCCCTTGTGTACCACACATAATCTCCTTTCGGCGACGTAGTACCTTTTGGCAAAAGTGCCAGATATGTCGGAGCATCAGCACCTGAATAAAAAAATGATAATTTATAAAAAAAAAAAAAAAGTTAATTTAGTTTACCTTGTTCAATAGTCAGAGGTCCTTGATGGCTTGTCATGTCTGTATCGACATAACCAGGGTGGACATGGTTTATTACAATATCTTCGCGTGGATCCTCAAGAAACAATCTATGCTGAATCCTAGTCAACGTGCTCACTCCGACTTTCGATACAACATAAGTGCTATTCGGCCAACCTTTCGAAGCATACGATCCATCTTTAGCATCACTGTAAATAATTAATTGAATTTAAGACTAAAATGAAGTATAAATTCATCAAGAAGGCTTACGCTATAAATTGTTTCATAAGTTTTGACAATTCAGGCTCTGTTAAATTAGGTTCGGAAAATTTTTTACGCAGCTCTTCACCGGGGATGCGCAACAAATGACCCGCTGAACTCGACACATTCACAACTCTCGCATGCGGCTTTAAAAGCGGAAAGAGTTCATTGCAAACGTCAACCAAAGCGAAGTAATTCGTTCTAAGTGTGACCTCCGCTTGCTCGGCGAATGGTTCCGTAGCAGCTGCCTAGACAATAAAACAAAAAAAATGTTTAAACTGTATTTTCAAAAAAATTATTCACCTGCCTTAAAAGCAATCGCAGCGTTGTTTACAAGGACGTCTATCCCGCCGTGTTTGGTTTTAAGATGATCACCGAACTTCCTTATTGAGTCTAAATCAAGAATATCGAGTTGATGATATTCCGGTGGTTTCAAACCAGCCTGGAAAAAAAATTAAAGGTCAATAAATGAACAACCGATAATGATATTTGTACCTTTTTGAGTTCTTCGACGGCAGCCTGACCCCTTCCGACATCCCTGGATGTTAAATAAACAACCCCGTCAAATTGTTTGCATAAATTTCTGACTATGCCAAAACCTATTCCTTTGTTTGACCCAGTTACCTGCAATAAAATAAATTTAAGATCAACCTAAATATTTAATATTTCCTTTGATTAGGTCTATTCCAAAACCAAGAGAAGCTAAAAAAAATATTCTTACAACAGCTACTTTTGAAGACATGGTGTGAATGGCAAAGAATAAGAAACTATATTTTTTTATCTATTTTTTCATTCATATTCTGTTAACTGTTATCACGTTTGTTAACCGGTTTTTCGATGTAATAATCAATTTTCAACTTTTGCATCGATAGTTATTATATCAGTACAATCAGTACAATAATAAACTCAAATTTAACCAACAATTATATGCTTAATAACAGCCACATGTTGAACTATAATAGCATAATAGCATACTTTCAGCATGGATTTTTTCATAAAAACACAATAAAAAAGTAATAACAGTATCAAACATTATTATCGAAAATAATCGAGTTTTGTCACAGTTCAATAGAAACTAGATAAAGTTTTTCAGACAGAGTAAACAATAAAATCTTCCCTCCATTAAAACTTCATAATGGGCCATGATTTATGACCAGATACCATGTAATAAATTAAATGCATGATGTTTATAAAAGGAGAGAAAATTAAACGCTCTGTAGCTTTCTTAAAATATTAAAAAATAAGAATTTCAATCAATTATTCTTTCTATGTAAGGTCTTGGTTAAGATAAAAAAATCAGTGTCATGAGCAGGATTCGAACCCACGACCTTTGGCTAAATACGCCGCTACTCTACCACTTGAGCTACCGTGACTTCGATCCTCTCGGATTTTATTACCAAGACCTTACATAGAAAGAATAATTAATTGATTGAAAGAAGTAACTTGGTCAATTGACCACAAAAACGTAAATGGATTTAAAAAGTAAAACAAGAATCACTTCACGAAACAGTTCCCGATAGCTCAAGTGCAGGAGAGCAGGAGGTCGTGGGTTCGAATCACACTTGTGACATTAACTTTTCCAACTCAACCAAGACCTTACATAAAAAGAATAATTAATACGATCAATTATGACTGTTAAACATAAATTGATTAATACAATAAGTAAATAAGTAATCACTTCACTAACAGCTCGCCATGGCCATTTTCATAAGTCGCTGAGAATTGAATCGTGATTTCACGACATTTGAAAAATGACAAAAGGATAGAAAATGCGAAAGGGGGGAATTGCTCTACGAAGGGATCAAAATCATTATAACTCAAGTGGTTAGAGCAGCGACGTATTGAGCCGAATGTCGTGGGTTCTAATCCCACTTGTGACACTAACTTTTTCATCTCAACCAAGATATTACATAAAAAGAATAATTAATACGATCAATTATGACTGTTAAACATAAATTGATAAATACAATAAGTAAAGAACTAACAGCTCGCCATGGCCATTTTCATATGTCGCTGAGAATTGAATCCCGATTACACGACATTTAAAAAATGGCAAAATGCAATGGTAAAATGCAAAAGTTGGTAGATTTTAGAATTAGAAGCGATCAAAGTCATGAGAGCTCAAGTGGTTAAAGCAGTGGAGTATTGGGCTGAAGGTTGTGGGTTGGACTCCCGCTTGTCACACTAATTTTTTCATCTCAACCAAGACCTTACATAAATAGGATAATTAATTAAAATAATTAATATGATCATTTACGATTGCTAAAAATTAATATAAAAAATAATCACTACAGTTACAGCTCGCCGTGGCCATATTTGTAGGTCACTGAGATTCCAATCTGAATACACGACATTTGAAAATGACAAAAAGAGGGAAAATATGAACGGTTGTAGGTTGAGATGGAGGGTTGGTGTCCGTGGTAGAGTAGCGGCATATATAGCCGAAGGTCGTGGGTTTGTATCCTGGTCGTGACACTGACTTTTTTATTTGACTGCTAAACATAAATTGATTAATATGATAAGTAAGAAGAACTTCACTAACAGCTCGCTGTGGCCACTTTATAAGTTGCTGAGAATTGAATCCTGATTACACGACATTTAAAAAAATGGCAAAAAGAGGAAAAATGCAAAAGTTGGTACATTGGGATTGGGATTTAGTGTCCGAAGGGATCAAAGTCATGATAGCTCAAGTGGTTAAAACAGTGGAGTATTGGGCTGAAGGTCGTGGATTTGAATCCTGCTTGTCACATTAATTTTTTCATCTCAACCAAGAACTTACATAAATAGATTAATTAATTAAAATAATTAATATGGCCAATTAGGACCACTAAACAAAAATGGATTAATACAAGAAGAAATCACTTCAGTTACAGCACGCCGTGGCCATATTTATAGGTCACTGAGAATCCCATCTGATTACACGACATTTGAAAATGACAAAAAGAAAGAAAATTTGAACGGTTGTAGGTTGAGATGGAGAGTTGGTGTCTGTGGTAGAGTAACGGTAGAAAGAATCATCTTGAACAGAAGTTTGCAATATTATTGTCAGATTGAGTCATCTAGGTCACCATTGAGAGGATATCGCACAGCTAGTTGGCTTTTCTCAGAGAGTGGTCTACCGGGGTTGAGCCCGATTCCGAGAGACTAGAAGTGCCAATAAGGGGCATGGTAATGGTTCTCATCACATTACGATTCTAAGGGAGGACAGAAATATTGCCATTGCTACAAGACAGAACCCCTTCCAAAGTGCCTGCCAGATCCTACATAAAGCACAAGATATTTTGGCAAGACCATTATCAATCAGTTGGCCTCACATCGTACCCCTTTGGAGACTTCCTGGAGAGAGGAGAATATGGTGCAACTAGTGCCTAGGGGAGAACACAAGTTAGAACGCTGTTATGCCTACTGATAAATATTTCTATCTAGGCGGCAAAGAGTATACTGAGAACAGGGGATGCCCGAGTTCATGCTCCCTTCAGTGCAATTTTGGAGAATGTGGTGTAAGGGTCTGTCCTCTCGCTGGAAGCATGGAGGTTTGTGTATGTCTGGGAAGGATTGTTGTGGAATGTAGAGTACAATACATACTCTTGAAAATAGGTTACTTGTTACATGTTAAAGTGATATGTGATCAGGCAAGACGGATAAGTCTGACAGGTCTGTCAGGTTTGTTTATAACTAAACTATTTGATCCATGTATATTATGTACAGATAGTAATAAATAAATCAAGTTTTGGATGAAAGATTTATAAGGAGGAAGGTTGTGAATTTGTGGGTGGTATTGTCGTGGAATATAGAGTATACTACCTATACATACCCACAAAAACGGTTAGTTATCACATGTTTGTATGGTTATAAGGACTGGCATAATATCAAATCCCCTGATGGCTCACCAGTTTCTTTATGGTTTGAATAAGTTTAGTTTTGTATAAATGTTTTAATAAGGATGGAGATTTGTATATGTGTTTGAAGGATTGTGGTGGAATATAGAGTATACTACATATCCACGAAAATAGGTTAGTTGTTACATGTTTTTAAATTGATAAGTGATGAGGTATTGGCATAATATCAAATCCCAAAATAGCTCACCAGTTTTATTATAATTAATACTGTTTGAATGTTTAGTTTTGTATAAATGTTTTAATAAGCTTGGAGGTTTGTGAATGTGTGAGAAGGATTGTGGTAGAATCAGAGTACACTACATACCCATGAAAATAGGTTAGTGTTACATGTTTTTATATTGATAAGTGATGAGGTATTGGCAAAATATCAAATCCCCGGATAACTCACCAGTTTTTAGAAATGGTGAATGATGGAGTGAGAAATTCATGTCGAGAGACGTGGTTGTAGAAATCCTTCCACCTGATGATGAGCTAAGGGGCTCGAAATCCGGAAGGTTGGAAGACAACTTACTATGAGTATGAACTATCTTTTTTTTAAAAAGGACTCTCCAGTTTTGTTATAATTAATGGTGTTTGAATAAGTTTAGTTTTGTATAAATGTTTTAATAAGGATGGAGGTTTGTGAATTTGTGAGAAGGTTGTGATTGCATGTAGAGTACACTACATACCCACAAAAATAGTTTAGTGTTACATGTTTTTATACTGATAAGTGATGAGGTATTGGCATAATATCAAATTCCCAGATAGCTCACTAGTTTTATTATAATTACTACTGTTTGAATAAGTTTAGTTTTGTATAAATGTTTTAATAAGGATGGAGGTTTGTGAATTTGTGAGAAGGTTGTGGTTGCATGTAGAGTACACTACATACCCACAAAAATAGTTTAGTGTTACATGTTTTTATACTGATAAGTGATGAGGTATTGACATAATATCAAATTCCCAGATAGCTCACTAGTTTTATTATAATTACTACTGTTTGAATAAGTTTAGTTTTGTATAAATGTTTTAATAAGGATGGAGGTTTGTGAATTTGTGAGAAGGTTGTGGTTGCATGTAGAGTACACTACATACCCACAAAAATAGTTTAGTGTTACATGTTTTTATATTGATAAGTGATGAGGTATTGACATCATATCAAATCTCCTGATAGCTCACCAGTTCCATTATCGTTAATACTGTTTGAATAAGTTTAGCTTTGTATAAATGTTTTAATAAGAATGGAGGTTTGTGAATTTGTGGGAAAGGTTATGGTGGAATATAAAGTACTACACTACATACCCACAAAAATAGGTTAGTTGTTAGATGTTTTTATATTGATAAGTGATGAGGTATTGATATCATATCAAATCCCCTGATAGCTCACCAGTTTAAGGATTGTGGTGCAATATAGAGTACACTACATACCCACGAAAATAGGTTAGTTGTTACATGTTTTTATACAGATAAGTGATGAGGTATTGTCATAATATCAAATCCCCGGATAGCTCACCAGTTTTATTATAATTAATGCTGTTTGAATAAGTTTAGTTTTGTACGAATGTTTTAATAAGCATGGAGGTTTGTGAATGTGTGAGAAGGATTGTGGTGCAATATAGAGTACACTACGTACCCACAAAAATAGGTTAGTTGTTACATGTTAAAGTGATATGTGATCAGGCAAGACGGATAAGTCCAAAGTGTGACCTCAAACCAAAACCCAAAGTAGTAAATCTTACAATGTCATGAGCCTAATTTTGTATATGTATGTGCATTGTTGAGCTATATAAAAAAGTAATAAGTCAAAATTTGTTAATGTTATAAATTATTATTAGTTTAAAAATCTTGATAGGAGTTGCTAGAAAGCCTGATGTATGAACTTCCCATTGGTCTTGATTTTTTAAACGATGTTTTTTTTATTTCGTTTGTAAATTTAACCTAGATGTTTTTTCTTTTACCAGCTGGATCTCAGCTAGTAGGTTTTTCTTCAGGATTTTTTTTTTAAATTTTCGGGGCGAATTTTGCTCTTGAAGAAAATACTTCTACATATTATAAATTAAAATTTGCTGCTATAGTTAATTTTTAGTAATTTTCAATAAGTATGGAATGTCTAAAACAACATTGGCCACCGATAAAAAGTCGGAATGTCATGTCCATTTTTTGCTTCCCATTTTTGTTTTTGATTCTAGAAAAGTAGCGATTACGCCGATAACAGTACGATATCTCATCGTGTCCCTTTATGGAGAATGGCCTTTGACCACTTCTATTATCTCTCGCTGCCGTAACAAACAGCTTAACAATGAACGGCTGTTAACTGGGCGCAGTAGTTGCCTGGCGGCTCATGATGAGAGAGGTAGGTCAAAATAATTGTCACGGTTTATTATTCGACAAAGATAAATACTTTGCATTGTTTTTTCCTCCACGGTCCGCGTATTCTCGCTGTGTAGGATTGATACGAGGCTTGAAAATTCGTTAAAGTCATTCCGAGTAACTTTTATTAATTTTTTATTTTAACATCTTTTCATTTAGACTTTTATAACTAACGCAAATCAAATTTAAGGTTGGTTTCAAATAATTTAATTAAATATCGTTTAAATCATGTATAGCGTGATTTTATCGACAAAGGTTGGCCTTTGACACTGTAAATATAATTAATAATCGGTCAGTATCTAAATCTAAATATAAACTAATAAGTTAATCACTAGGTAAATTTATTAATTATGTCAGAAATAAAACTAATCAGACGTTTTACCAAACTAGAAATAACGAGCATTTTCATACTACCCAATTAAAAAAATTGAAATACATAAATAAAAAAATATTATTTTACGGATTTTGCGGAATCTTTGAATAGATTTGAGTTGTGTAAAATAATTTTGTGTAAGCTTTTTGATTCCATGATTCGATCTTCGTCCATTTTGATCACAGATATCACATCTAGTTTAAAAATTTTACGTCCGTCTGATTTATTTTTTTGTAGGATTACTCATGAGCGTTACTCATTTTTAGTAATGAAAATATAACAAAATGTAAAACAGATAAACAAACATTATGATTATTTATAATAGTATGATTCTAGCTCCAAAAACCCAGAACTTGTGAGACAGCCGGAAATGCATAGGCAAAATTAATAAATAAATCCCAAGGCTGATGATGGCGAGTGTATGTTTTTAATTTTAATACAAACCGTGAATAAAAAGAAAAAACAACAAAGGAAAAGAAAGAAGAAATTGTATTTTTTTAAAAATTTAATCCATTTCTTTGTCATTATTTTTTAATAGTAACTGTAGAATATTTATTTATTTAAAATACTATAGAAAAGTTCAAATATTCACTTAAAATATATTTTTTTAGGGGTTTTAAAAGTGAGACGTAATAGGTTTATTTCCATCGTATTTGTATTTATTTATCAATAAGAAATCTGCAGATTGATAATTCATTTGAGAAGAATATTTTCTGTTTCGGTCTGTTTACATAGAATCGACGGTTTTATATTGCATAACTAATTTTCGTAGCAATTTCATCTTTTGGTCCGCTACGCATCGCTTTCTTTCATATAGTTTCAAGCACAGATTTGTGCTAATTCACGTGATATGATTGATTAGGAGGACGTAAATAAAATAATAAAATGCTTTTTTTATTGTTATATTACGTTTAACAATATTAGAGCGTATCCAAGTATTCTTTCCAATGGGTCAGAAAGAACCGAGAAATAAAAAAAAGAAAAATATATTTTAAAAAAATTTTGTTTTACTTTTATTGTAAAAATATTACTATTCCTATTTCGAAAAACTGCCGGATACCAATTTTTTCGGATAATCGAAACATGTTTACCTTAAAATTTTTGCCTTTCTACTACGGTTATTTATTTATTAATTTTTTTTTAAAATCACAAAACGTATGATTATATTGAAATGACTTAATCGATCCAGGGGAAACTTTACAGTACTTAGGAACTTTATAAACAACCCATAATGACCCAAGCATCGCCGCAAAAATATTTTAGAACCTGAGAAAGAAAATATTTTGAGCTGTTTTTTATTTCTCAATTTCAACTTTAAATTGTTCACTTCTAATGAAATAAAAGGTAAGCCTTGTTGACATAGGCTGCAAGGAGAAATATTTCATTTTTACATCGATTTTATAATCGTTCAATTTGAATAAAATCCAGAGGAGTTATGATTTTTCAAGTCGATTATCTGAATTGTGCAAAAAAAACTGCGTCCGATGACTCCTGCTTAAAAATATAAATTTTTTTATTCCGCTGACAATTCATAGTTAAAAGCTTTAAAGGCGACTTAAAAGGAATTGTTAAAGAAGAGTTTTTTTGCCCTGTTTTGCTCTAAACCTTATTTGGTTTTTGAAAATTTTCATATATTTTTATTATTTAATACGAAATTTTTATAAAGATTTTACACTCGTTCAATTTGAAAAAATCCAGAGGAGTTATGATTTTCAAGTCGAATTTCTGAATCGGTGCAAAAATTTGCCTCCAATGACTCCTGCTCAAAAATGTCCAATATTTTTATTCCTCTGAAAATTCATAATTAAAGGCTTTAAAGGGGACTTAAAAGGAATTATTATAGAAGAGTTTCTTTGACCTTTTTTACTCTAAACCTTATTTGTTTTTTGCAAATTTTAATATATTTTTTATTATTTAAAACGAAATTTTTACAACGATTCTATAATCGTTCAATTTGAATAAAATCCAGAGGAGTTATGATTTTTCAAGTCGAATATCTGAACCAGTGCAAAAAAAGGCCTCCGATGACTCCTTCTCAAACATGTCAATTTTTTTATTCCGCTGAAAATTCATATTTAAGGTCTTTAAAGGGGGCTTAAAAGGAATTATTAAAGAAGAGTTTTTTTTGCCCTGTTTTACTCTAAACCTTATTTGGTTTTTGCAAATTTTCATATATTTTGTATTGTTTAAAACGAAATTTTTACGACGATTATAGAATCGTTCAATTAGAATAAGATCCAAGTAGTTATGATTTTTCAAGTCGATTATCTGAATCGGTGCAAAAAATTGCCTCCGATGACTCCTGCTCAAAAATGTCCATTTTTTTTATTCCGCTAAAAATTCATAATTAAGGTCTTTAAAGGGGGCTTAAAAGGAATTATTAAAGAAGAGTTTCTTTGACCTTTTTTACTCTAAACCTTATTTGGTTTTTGCAAATTTTCATATATTTTTTATTATTCAAAACGAAATTTTTACAACGATTTTATAATCGTTCAGTTTGAATAAAATCCAGAGGAGTTATGATTTTTCAAGTCGAATATCTGAATCAGTGCAAAAAAAGGCCTCCGATGAGTCCTGCTTAAAATTGTCCATTTTTTATTACGCTAAAAATTCATATTTAAGGTCTTTAAAGGGGACTTAAAAGGAATTGTTAAAGAATAATTATTCAGAAATCGTGAGATGCGGTCTGGTATGATGTAGGTTTCAGAAAAACATTTTCTTTATCGTGCCAACGTTTCGATCTTTATTCAGATCATCTTCAGGGCACAAAGTGTTTGTCTTCTGTGTAATTGTGCCATTCTTGCGTGTCGTGTTTATGAAATCTCACNGAGTTATGATTTTTCAAGTCGATTATCTAAATTGGTGCAAAATACTGCCTCCGATGAGTCCTGCTCAAACATGCCAATTTTTTTATTCCGCTGAAAATTCATATTTAAGGTCTTTAAAGGGGGCTTAAAAGGAATTGTTATAGAAGAGTTTCTTTGACCTTTTTTACTCTAAACTTATTTGTTTTTTGCAAATTTTCATATATTTTTTATTATTTAAAACGAAAGTTTTACAACGATTCTATAATCGTTCAATTTGAATAAAATCCAGAGGAGTTATGATTTTTCAAGTCGAATATCTGAATCGGTGCAAAAAATTGCCTCCAATGACTCCTGCTCAAAAATGTCCATTTTTTATTACGCTAAAAATTCATATTTAAGGTCTTTAAAGGGGACTTAAAAGGAATTAGTGAAGAAGATTTTTTTTGCCCTGTTGTACTCTAAACCTTATTTTTTACAAAATGTCACTAAAAAATCTCAATAAATTCGGTGATCTAACGTCTCCTAGCGTCGCCTCGTAAGATGTACACAAAATTTTTTATTATAACCATAGAACTCAAGAACATCTGGGTCAACCGCGAATAAGTAAAGTAACAATGGGCTCATGCGAACATCACATACATTTATTTACAAATGGGTTTAAAAAACAACAATGGACTCATAACACTACCTTGCCCTACATCAGAAACCGCGTTTACACTTTTACCACTCATAGCTATAAGACTGAACAGTCAATAATTGACTTAAATTTAGTCGCAATTTAAGATTTACTAACCTCACAATCAGTGCTCTACCTTTCTGTTTTGTTGTTTCATACCAAAATTAATTTCAATTCGCACAATAGAGAGAATTATTGACAGTAATGTTAGGTCATTTAAATCATTAATTACAACACTTATATTAAGAGTAAATTTTTTTTTGAAAGTAAAAACAATTGATGTGTTAGATATAATTCATATAATTAACATTTTTAAGTAAGGTTTCGGTTGAAATTAAAAAGCTAGTGTCACCAGCGGGATTCGAACCCACGACCTTTGCCTGGTGTTCTCAAATCCTTTCGTGGCACTAATTTTTTCATTTCAACCAAAACCCTGCATAAAAATGTTAATTAATTTAAAGAAGTAATTTGGTCAATCAGACCACCAAATATAATGGATTTAATAATTCATATATTTTAAAAATTGAATAACATGTTTAAAAAATTAAATAGAAGTATGTTTTTTATTACAAATTGTATAAATATTTATTGCAATAATTTTTTAAATTTAGAAATAATTTGATGATTATCCTTTTACCTTATAAAAAATGAAAAATACGAACGCGTTTGTGCTGTGTTAACAATTAAACATAAAAGTAATATTTGTTTAATAATATTATTTTTTATTGTACAAGTTTGAACAATCTTAGTGTGTACTACGTCTAGCTGTAATTATTTCCATGATTTGAAAAACATCAATCAGTAGTATAATTAGTTCTGTTTAACAGTCTAATAAAGAACATTATTGTTCTTAGAAAGAAAAAATAAAATGATGTCATGACAGGCGGTTTAGTCATTGTTGTTGAGTCATAAATAATCTTCGATTATTTTCTATCTTTTAGATTTTTTTAGAATTTAGTAATGTGATAATAGAGATAGAACGGTTTTCAAAGGAATTTCGTTTTAAATGTTTATATTTAAACAATAAGATTTTTAATTTTTTTAAATAGTTTTATTTAACCTATTTTAAATAACAAGTTAATTATATTATTACATCGATTTTTTTATTTCGTATAATTATAATTTTT